TCCATTCCCAAGGCGATGCCTTTGTCCTTCACTGGTTGGACCAGATCAATTACGCCTTTCCCCATCTCCTGCTCCTGCCACGAGACCTCCACAAGATCAGGCGGGAGAAGGCCATAGTCATTCTGGTTGCCCCATTCTGGCCATTCCAATTCTGGTTTCCTCCGCTTCTTTGCATGTTGACTTGTCCCCTGTGTCCCCTGCCAGCTTTCCTGAAACTCCTCACGCAACACGGTGGGATCAGGCATCCCGATCTATACACAGTTCACCTCAGAGCTTGGTTTTTGGATGGGCATTTTCGCTAGAATGGGAATGTTCCTGGAAGTACAAGACATCCTTTCGAGCAGCAGGAAAGAGTCCACAAGGCATTCCCATTGGGCCAAGGGGAAGTGCTTCATCTCCTGGGCCCAACAGAGGGGCCTTGTCCCTGAAAACATGGACATTCCCCTTTGTTTAGACTACCTCCTCTCCTTGAAGATGTTGGGACTCACTCTGAACTCCATCAAGGTCCACATAGTGGCTCTTAGTACCCACCACTCCATCCCCCCACTCTCCCCATGGAAGGCCACTCCATATTTACGCATCCATTGACTGCCAGATTTTGAAAGGGTCTCCTCAGAACCTTCCCACCCGTCCAACCTATTGCTCTTGAGTGGGACCTCAATCTCGTTTTCTTGATGTTAATGACATTGCCCCTCAAGCCACTGGCTTCCTGCTCCCTGTCCCTCCTTTTCATGAAAGTCATCTTCCTAGTAGCTATTACTTCCATGAGAAGGGTAACTGGGGGCCATGATGGCGGACTCCTCCTTTCACCATATTCCATAAGGGCAAAGTCTCCCTGAATCTGCACCCCAAGTTTCTCCCAAAGATTGTATCCCGGTTTCACCTCCACTAACCCATACGCTTACTTGCTTTCTTTCTGAAGCCTCATGTCTCAGTGGAGGAGTGGTGCCTTCACTCTCTCAATGTCCACAGGGCCTTGTCCTTTTACCTGAAGAGAATAAGACCAATCAGGAAATCCCCTAGACTGTTTGTTGCTATAGTTGAAAGAATTAAGGGGAAGGCAATCTCCACACAGAGGATTTCTAAGTGGATTTCGTGATGCATTACACTTTGCTATCAGTTGTCAGGACTGCCTCCATGCCTTGGGTGAGAGCCCATTAGACGAGAGCACAAGCATCGACTACGGCCACCCTGCACAATATACTGCTTCCAGACATATGTAGGGCAACCATGTGGAGTTTGGTACATACCTTCACTATGCATTATGTCTTGGTGCAAGACTCTGTGACGGATGCCTCATTCGGCATGGCTGTCCTCCAATCCACCATTCCATCCTCTTCCTTGTACCCTTCTCCAAAATAGGTACTGCTTGTTAATTACTCACAGTGGAATACAATAGGGACCATCACTCGAAGAAGAAGAGGAGGTTACTTACCTGTAACTGGAGGTTCTTCGAGATGTGTGTCCCTATCTGTATTCTACTTCCCGCCCTCCTTCCCCTTTGCTGCAGATCTGTTCAATTTGTAATGAAAAAGGAAGTGGAGGTGCAGCCTGGTCTGCCTCGCCCTTTATCACCACAGTCAAAACCATAAGGCAAAACAAGGGTGCATGGGCAGACCAACGAACACTACTACTTTCAAATTCTCTGGCTCCGGATGCATGGTGCGCATGCAGAAACCTTCAGTGGAACACAGATAGGGACCACATATCTCCAGTTACAGATAAGTAAACTCCTCTTCCTGACTGGTATAAGCTCCCAATGTTGGGAGATGCAGATTTTAAAGTCATTACATTGTTCTACATAATTGCTATTATAGGTCCAGGATTGAATTGCTTGCCTATCCCTGCCCTTCGGCAAGTGTAATTCTTTGACAAAATTCAACATTTGCAGAGCAGAGGAGGAAACGTTCTCATGGCCGGTTCTATTTTTAAAAGAGGGAGGGAAGGAAGGAAGAAGGGAAAAGGTGATTCAAAAATGATCTGAGCTTTGCAATTTTAAGAATAATTTTCATGGACACAGCTCAATGGGCAGAGACCAGGTTAGACAGTGAAAGGTACATGATAAATCATCATGTTAAATAGGTACCACTTTTTCTCATGGGTAGGGTTGCCAGTTTTGGTTGGACATATTTCTGGAGGTTTCATCACATGACATAATCTTTAATAAAGATTAATCTTTAATTTCTGGAGACTCCAGGACAATCCTGGTTAGCAACCCTACTCATGGGGTGTGTATGTGTCTACCAATGTAGGCCTCAATCCAGCAAATGCTTTGGTGGGAATACTCCCATTTCTAATATTACTCACATCCATAGGTGTTTGCAGGAGTGGGGCCATAGTATGTGCATTAGATTGCCAGTATTCCAGTGCCCACATATGTCTATCACCCTTTGTCATAGGCAGCAGGTGGCCAGGGCTAGAGCAGGATCAGCCCTCACCTCCCAAATCTATTTTTGAGCCACTCTGCTGTCCGCATGCCTGTCCACCTCAGCCCGTGAAGGGTGTTGTGGGGAGAGGGCCTTGCCTGCCTGCTGGATTCCTGGTATGTGGAGCTATATTCTTGAGTCCCAGCAGGGGATGCTGGCTGCTGAGCAGTGCTTCTCATGAAGGTTCATTGCAGAGAGAGAGTCCTAGGGGAAGGGCGGGGCAGGGCGCGGGGAGGGGAGAAAGGGAGAAGAGTTTTGGGTGAAGGAGGGAGATCCTGAGGCCCTGTGTTTGGAGTGGCATGGGGAAAAGTCCCTGCCTGTGCACGGATGAGAACCCGCCCTTCTGTATTTGTATTCCCTAAAATTTTCCATTTGCCACAGGCTATGTGATTTGAGCAATGGGAACTGGGATAGGGTGGGGAAATCTTGAATTTGTAGAACACCGGCACAGGTGTAATTGTGTTTCTATGTGCTACCCAGGTGTATTTGATAAAGTTCACTGGTTTTGTAGATCTTTCTTTATAGAAAGGCAAATGTTTCCCAATTTGCCAATACAAACTAAAGGAAATGTATATGAGGCAGATAAACCTCCCTACTGCTGTGCATTGAAATGGTTCAGTCCTTCACAGAGCAAGCATAAAACAATAGGCTTGCTAGCTCAGCTGTCAGAAGTACATTTAGAGTCAAGATTGATTAAAATTGTCCTGACTAGGTAAAAGCAACTAATCTGTGATATTTGAAGAGCATAGCATGGGCTTATTTAATGAAAGAATGGAAGATTAATTGTTTGCATTCGGAGCAAAAAAACAACTGAGTTGGGGCAGTGCCACCAAAATGTTCAAAGCATCATGCAGGGATTCAGGGCCTAATTAAGTGTTTAGCCCTTATGGGTTTGATGCAAACATTCAAAATCGATCTGAGTTTAAACATGTCATGCTGCCCGTCTAAGGGGTGCAGGGATTGAGGTGGAGGCATAAAGGCAACTTTGTCACCCCTGTCCTGGCTCAAGTTAGAGCAGCCTCAGGGCAGACATAATTTTAGGGGTGCACCAGTGGCCATCCATGTCCTTACCCTAGTATGCCAGGGACATATAAGGGGTATGTGCAGCAGGGAGGGCGAAGGGGATGCTGTATGTGTGAATGACCTCTACTGCTGCAGAATCCCACCCTGCCCATTTAGGGCAGCTTAGTTCCCTTTGTGCAACCAGAGTGACCCATATGGTATGTTGCGTGAGTGGGGACTGGCCTCTGTATTTGTAAAAATAGGTATAATGGAAAAGAGCTGGCTGTTTAAATGGATCATAATTAGGATTAATTAATCTCCCCTCCTAGATGTTCTAAATGCACACACTGGTGCTCTCATTTGAGAGCTAGGGGAGGGAACCAAGTTTTAGCCCCAATGTATCTTGACCATTTAATTTGATCATTTAAACAGATAACCTTTTTCTAATGTGGCTGTTTTTAGGGGAAGTGTATCTTTATAGGCAATGTATTTAAATGGGGATTTACTTTGAAGACCTTTTACAACTGCACTTTTTCATTTATCCTGAGGTGGTGGTATGGCTCTATTAATGAATGATGGCATGGCTGTGTTTGATTTCTTCCCTTGTGCAGTGCATTGAAACCTGAGCAGAAAACTTCAAGTTTACTGTACGCTGAGGATTTTTTTTTAGCTTCGTCAGTGAAGCAAAGAAGGAACTCATCACTTTTCTCAATGGCTCTCTCAGAGGAAAGGAACTGAAAAACTTCCATCTCTTGACACGGATAATATGTTGATCTAGTAGCAAGAACTGAGACACGAGCCACATGATTTATAATGTACAGGGTGGGAAAAGAGCGTAAGTGGTGTTTCTGCCATGGGACCTTCTCCAGGCATTGATTTAAAATAAAAGCAAATAATACAGAACACACAGAGAACTTTTGGGGGACGGGTGCGCTCTCAACAAACGTTGGTTCAAACCATTCGTTCTAGGAAGGATTAAATGAGGACAAAATAAGCCAGATGATGTGCTGGGACAATGGTAAATTGTTCTAGGGTCACCATCCTGTTTTTTTCCCATTGTTGGTTCTGATTTCTATGGGATAATCCCAGGCTCTGCAAATCTATCTTGCAGAATATTAAAGGGTCCTTAAATAGACTTCAGCACCCATGGAACATCAGTGCATCATGACATCAATTTACAACATTGTGATGCAACGTTATGTTGATTTATGCCTTGCCAGCAGGAAAGTATCACTCATGACACACACACTTGTCCCATCTGTTAAATGTTGGGGTTCTTAGGAATTGGCTTGTTTTGGCCTTGTTTTGAAATGGGATTAGCTTGATTTTTGGTTTATTGTGAAAGTCGGGGTGCTTATTTACCACGTGAAAGTTGGCAACTGTGATTAGCATGGCACTCACTAGTGAATAGTAGGGTAATATAGTTCAAATCTTTTATGGCATATATGTTATTGGCCTAGATACATATGTTCTTTTCTTTTATTACCAATAATATTAAAGGCATATTTTGTCTGAGCTGACTTTCCCTGTGTACCGAATAATGATCACAAAGCCACTGTTTGGTTCTTTCAGATGCTTTTCTTGTGAACAATTTGGGCTCTAGTACTAAGAAGACCTGGGGCATCCGCAGGAAACAGTCCTGGAGATACACTGTAAGTGTGGTGCAAAAACAGTTTCTCAAATATCTGTTAAAATATCCTAAAAATAAACATAAATTTAAAAAAATCTTTGTTCACAAAAGTTAGTAAGGCCTAGTGCACAAAACAAAACCTTCTGCCACTGATTGGTTGCAGGCCAAGAGTCTGTTTGAAGTTGTTCTTCTCCGAAGCACAGGAGCAGGAAGAAAGTCTCAGGCCCCTCTCCCTTTCCCCACAGTGTGCCACACATGCAGTTTGTGCAGCTACTGGCCTGGAGTTGACTTGATGGCACTTTGACTCCCCCCACCCCATGGACTGGGATTGACTGGAGGATTCACGAATCAGCTCTCCTTGCCCATCACTGCTCTGTCTTCAAAGGTCTGCCACACACTTGTGTGCAGTGGGCCCCTAAGGCCTGCCCAACGTCCATCCTAACCCTATCCTTCTCCATGCAGAATGTCACCATTCCACTGAATCTGAGGTCCTCCACATCCATGCAGAGGGGCACAGGATTTCCTCCATAATGCACACCTAAATGCCCGCACACATATTTCCTCTGCACTAACACAGACAGGGGAGAGGACTTAATGCCTGAGCATGCAGGGGATAGAATTTACTGGAACTGGCTAAAAAAAGAAAAGTAGCATGAATTGTTTGTGAAAATGTCTGCAAAAAATGTGTCCCTGTTTTTCAAAGAAAAGCGTTGAGTTGTGAAATGATTTCAACCAGCGCTAGAATTTACGTGCAAAAGCTCAGGAGACAAATAGAGTTTCACACTGAAGACCTATGACCTGTGCATGCAGTTGCTTGAAAGTATGAACACAAAGCGGAATGTGTACAAAAGAGGTTCGGTGGGGACTGCAGTAAAGAGTCCAAGATGATTGGACTCTTTACTGCAAGTGCACCAGGGTAAAGGAATGACAGAATGCTATTAACGGTTCTCCTTCTAATTTGTGGTTATGACGACAGCTTGCTTCGGCTTTTCTTTGAGGAATACATTTTTTTTTAACGATAAATTAAATTGTAAAAGCGTATGTATTTAAATACCATGCCAGTCAGAAGTGTGCTTATGAAAAACAAGGACCAACAATTTAGACCAGATTCTGCACTGCTGTATATTGGCATAATTCATTGATGTCAGTAGTGCTACACCAATTTATGCCAGCTGGGATCTGGCCCTTTGAGTTGAGATTTTACATTGCTGATGTAAAAAACAACATCTGAGATTGCATCTTGCTTGGTCTACAAATATTTTCATTTTGTCAAACTCGTGTTATAAGCAAGATAGGAAAGTATTTTTCCATGAACACTAAGGGTAGTTCTTCACTGCAATAAAAGACCCTGTGCGGCAGCCATGACTGACCTAGGTCAGCAGACTTGGGCTCGGGCTGTGGGGTTATGAAATAGCAGTGTAGATGTTCAGGCTCAGGCTAGAGCCTGGCTCTGAGACCCCACGAGGGGGAGGGTATCAGGGTCTGTCTACATGTGAATAAAAAACCCACGGCTGGCCTGGGTCAGCTGACTCAGGCTCGTGGGGCTGAAAAATTGCTGAATATCTACACAGTAATTTTTAGCCCTGTGAGACTGAGTCAGCTGACCTGAGCCAGGTGCAGCCATGCTGTGGGGCTTTTATCCTCTTGTAGACATATCCTTGGGCCTGGGTTCCAGCCCAAGCCTGAATGTCTTCACTGCTACTTTTAGACTTGCAGCCTGAGCGCCCATGAGCCCGTCAGCTGACATGGCGTCTGAGACTCAGTGCCTCAGGTTTTGTATCACAGTGTAGACATACCCTTATAAGCCGTTTCTAAGACTGATATTGCCTGGGGGAACTCTTCATGTAGCTGAATAACATAGCATACCAAAATTACTACAGTACTGATTGTAGAAATGTAGCTGTCCTGTACAAAGTGCTAACCAGTAGAAGGCAGCAGCTGCTCAGCTTTGAATGGCTCGTAATGGTTAGTGATGTATGCTTACAGGCAGTAGCAGTCCAGATCCAATCACTGAACTGTCAAGGTTTCAAATCAAGTTTACAGGAAGTCCAATGCTCCACATTCTCCGTTCTTTATGGTTCCTCTGTCATAATGTATGTTTCTTCTTTTCTAGGCACAACTATTTTAGATTTCCCTGTTCAGTAATAGTCAGCATGCTATTATTCTCTCACATGTTGGCTGTAGCTTCTCTTCAGATCTTCATCCTCTCAGGGAATTGGGCTCTAGCCAAGAACATCAACTTCTATAATGTGAGACCTCCATTAGACCGTAAGTAGCCAGTTGCAGCTTTCTTGTATTTGAGAACATAGGTTAATGTTTCAGCTATCAGCTTTTCCATTGTTATCCCTTGTTTTCAGGGCTGACTCTTAAACATAAAGTGGCTGTCTCTTAGACATTTGGGATCTCCTCTAGAGTGTAAAACAAAACATTCATTTCGGTGCCTCCTATGGTTACTCAGTATCATTCCTAACATTTGAGATACAGTCTGAATGGAGTTGAACAGAGAGGGAGAGAACTGTTCTCTTTGATTTGTACTTTGATAATAAACTGTTTCAGATTTTGGATGCTTTTACTGCAGTTTTATGTCTCAAAATGACTTCATTTTGTACAATATAAATGTTTGCAATGGACTAGCTGTTTCTGTTTGTTGTACTGCTTTTTTGGTGGGTGGGGTAGGGAGGTAGGTGTATTGAACACTTTTAAAGTTATCACTAAATGAAAGTATGAAAGTTAGTACGAAGTTAAAACCACTGTAGTAGCTGGGAAATCAGCTGTTAGTAATAGCATCACATGTCTGCTTCTTACCTTGCACTCACATTACTCTCCCTGTGCACCCAACTGGATAACAGTCTCTGTGATATAAAGGATTAAAGTGGAAAAGTAGTGATGGTTAGCAGGTGGAGTGTTTGATGCCAAGCTGCTTTAAAACTCTCGCATTTGTGTATATAAAATGTTATAAAACAGAATTTGAAATCAAACTCACTAATCCCTAATTGGCAACTTCTTGCTCAGAGTTGGGGGCAGTGACTTGGAGCTGGTTTCAAAGCAGTATCTGCCACATCTAGGGAAGCAAAAAACTGATTAAATGTAGATTGTGCGACAGTGTACATGTGTACATACATAGAGAAGATATGTGTATCTTCTATGTTATAATATTGTATATGTAATGTGCAATGATACACTCTCTCTCCATTTAAACAGCGTTTTAATTGTGAGAGAGAATGAAAAGGCCAGGAAATGTTTTAAAGTTAAAACATGATGATGTTAGTACGAGAAGTAAAAGCTTCTATGGTAAGGTATGAAATAGTTCTTATTTACCCAATAGATTGACATGAACTGTATATGCTATTCTTATACACATGTATAAATGTGTGAATGTGTGTGTATAATATATAAATATTAGCACATATATATATATAAAGTATTTTTGTCTAATAAATGTAAAAGCAAACACTTTTTGTTTGACATTTTAATTTTTGATATTTGCAAACTTAACATACTTATTATATTTTTAAAGCCACTCCATTTCCAAACAGCTTTAAGTGTTTCACCTGTGCAAATGCAGTTGACAATTACAACTGTAACAGATGGGCTGAAGATAAATGGTGTCCTGAAAGTAAGTGTGCCTGTCTTAGGGAGATTCTTTAATGTATTTAATTTTGTTTTTCCCCGTGATTCAACCATGTCTCAGGCAGCTAGTTATATAGGATTAACATACCATCACACTGATGCCCTGGGGATATATTTAGTAATGAGTCTTATGATTTCTCTTGAGATGGATATTCCAGCCATTTGAATATGCTCAGCAATACTACAAATCATGTTGAAGACCTTGTATGTTAGACTTACAGTAGAACCTCAGAGTTATGAACAAATGAGGGATGGAAGTTGTTCGTAACTGACATGTTCGTAACTCTGAACAAAACATTATGGTTCTTCTTTCAGAAGTTTTACAACTGAACATTGACTTAATACAATTGGTTCCTGGCCAATGGGAGCTGGGGGGGCAGTGCCTGCGGGCGAGAGTCATGCAGAGCTGCTTTCGTGCCTCCGCCTAGGAGCCGAACCTGCTGCTAGCTGTTTCCGGGGTGTGGTGCCAGGACAGGCGGGAAACCTGCCTCTGCACCCTGGCTGCACCACTGACCAGGAACCGCCGGAGGTAAGCCCCGGCCCCAACCCCATGCCCCAATCCCCTGCCCCAGAGCTTACATCCCTGGTCCAAAGCCCTGACCCCCTCCCATAGCCCAACCGCCTGCCCCAGCCCACACCCCAAACCCCTCATCCCCAGCCCCACCCCAGAGCCTACATCCCCAGTCCAGAGCCCTGACCCCCTGCCCTAGCCCAGAGCCCCCTCCCACACCCTGAACCCCTCATTCCCGGCCCCACCCCACAGCCCTCACCCCCGCACTCCATCCCCAGTTCTGTTGGGTCGCGGCCATCAACAATTTTCTGCAACCGGGTTGCCAGAAAAAAAGTTTGAAAACCACTGCACTAGAGTATGTATAACTAAAAATTCGTTAATGTAACTCGATCATTTTGATGGGCTGGCTAGCTTGTGCTAAAGATTTTAGAGGAATTTTTGAGTACTGTAGTCTTAAAGCATAGTCACATTTTTGGGTGGATGGAGGCCTTCTAGTGATGTGTGTGAACTGAGTGGAGAATATAGGATTTGAGATTAAGTATATAGCTGAATTCAGCCCTGTATACAGTCTAGATTCAAAATGAATGATCAAAGCACAGCCCTAGCTGAGACTTCCATTTAATTACTCAAGATAGCTAGTCCACAGCTGACTGTGAAAAGTTACAAACCGATCTTGCTAAACTGGATGACTGGGTAACATAGTGGCAGATGAATTTCAATGTTAATAATCAGAGGGGTAGCCGTGTTAGTCTGGATCTGTAAAAACAGCAAAGAGTCCTGTGGCACCTTATAGACTACAGACGTATAGGAGCATGAGCTTTCGTGAGTGAATACCCACTTCTTCGGATGCATCCGAAGAAGTGGGTATTCACCCACGAAAGCTCATGCTCCTATACATCTGTTAGTCTATAAGGTGCCACAGGACTCTTTGCTAATGTTAATAAGTGCTAAGTAATACAGACAATCCAACTATACATAGATGCTTAAACTAGGGGTGCTGCCACATCCCCTAGCTTGAAGTGGTTTCCATCATATACAGGGTTTACAGTTTGGTTCAATGGCTCTCAGCACCCCCACTATACAATTTGTTCCAGCACCTCTGCAACTATACATATAAAGTGATGGGGGCTAAATTAGCTGTTGCCACTCAAGAAAGAGATTTTGGAGTCATCATGGATAGTTCTCTGAAAATATTCACTCAATGTGCAGCAGCAGTCAAAACAGAATGTTAGGAACCATTTGGAAAGGGATAGCTATGAAGACAGAAAATATCATAATGCCAATATATAAATCCACAATATGCCCAAACCTTGAATACTGCATACGGTTCTGGTTGTCACATCTCAAAAAAGCTGTATTAGAATTGGAAAAGGTACAGAGCAGACCAACAAAAATGATTAGGGGTATGGAACAGCTTCCATACAAGGAGAGATTTAAAAGACTGGGACTGCTCAGCTTGGAAAAGAAATAACTAAGGGGGGATAAGAGAGAGGTTTATAAAATCATGAATGGTGTGGAGAAAGTGAATAGCGAAGTGTTATTTACCCCTTCATTTAACACAAGAACCGGGGGTTGCCAATTAAATTAATAGGGAGCAGGTTTGAAACAAACACGAGGAAGTATGTCACACAACCCGCAGTCAGCCTGTAGAACTCGTTGCCAGGGAATTTTGTGAAGGGCAAAAGTAAACTGTGTTCAAAAAAATATTAGGTGAGTTTGTGGAGGATAGGCCCATCATTGGCTATTAGCCAAAATCAGGGCTGGCTCTAACTTTTTTGCTGCCCGAGGCAAAAAAGAAGAGAGCCGTCCTGCCGTACCCCACCCCTTGAGTGCCGCTGAAATCCCCGCCCCCCCCAGCACCACGCCACCCGAAGCCCCGCCCCCCCCAGTGCCGCGCCGCCTGAAGCCTCTGCCCCTCTCGAGTGCCGCACCGCGCCAGCCCCCGCCCCCAAGCACCACGCCGCCTGAACGCCCCGCCCCCGAGCACCGCCCGAAGCCCCCGCCCCCCTCCGAGCAGCGTGCCGCCCGAAGCCCCCGCCTTCCCTCCAAGCACCGCCCGTAGCCCCGCCCCACCCCCCCTCCGAGCACCACGCCACCCGAAGCCCCCATCCTCCCTCCGAGCGCCGCCCGCCCCCCTCCGAGCACCGTGCCGCCCGAAGCCCCCGCCTTCCCTCCAAGCACCGCCCGTAG